AAATAGGAATGAAAATAAGTTAGGCTAGACTAAGCTTTGCATAAATAGGCTTACCCTATTTAATAATTTTGAAGTCTAAACATGATCTATTATTTGTTATAGGCTTTTTATTAAGCTTAGCCTAATCTTTTTTAAAAGCATGCTTTGACCTATTAGCCTTATTAATGATCTATTTTGTAGTGAAAGAGTTACATGTGATATAATATAAACAAGCGAAGAAAATGATGGATAAAATAAGATGAACTAGCAATAGACGTAATCAAGACACTACAAATGTAAATTAGCTTTATGCGTATAAGATATACGCAAAAGACTCTAACAAGCAAGGCTCTCTCTTTCTTAGAGAGTATATAGTAGAGACACTTTTCAACTTCAAATGAAAGGATTAAGGTTTTTAATTTTAAGATTTTATTTATTTCAACATTTAATTTATTTAATATATTACTATATTATAATTTTTATATAAAATTATTTAATATATTATTATAAACTTTATGAGTTTTAAATATGTCTAATATATTTTTTTCTTAAGCTCAGACCTAATCTATTTAATTAATTAAATTTTTTAAAAAGCTTAAATTAAGCTTATTAATTAAATAGACTAGATCAATTTAGGCTTTAATGATAGCTAATATCTCTCTTCTCCTTTTCTTTCCTCCTCAACATGAAATTCAAATAAAGTCTTAGTTTCAATAATTTGATTTCCTATCCTTACATAAAATTCGGTTATCAATACATAGTGGCCATAAAATAATTTATGTATCAATAAAATTAATTAATAATCAAATCTAAAATTAATCCATCAACATTTGTCACTAACTATTCACAAACTAGTTGATTAAGTTTACAAAACTATGGAAATAAAATGCAAATGTTTGATGTTATTCTAAAGAATGGATTAATATTTATTTATACATATAAAAAGAAAAGGATTTGAAATTTGAAACTTTTAATATAATAGTGAATTTTAAAATAAATTTATTAAAGAAAAATTATTAAATAGTATAAAAATATGTGTATTTAAATCAGTGTGATTTGATTTCTCCTTATATACAGAGGAAGAGAGATTATTTTGATAACTTCTTTTTTAAAAAAAAAAGTTTTAGTAGCCTTACAATGCACACCTGTTTTATTTTAAAATAAATATACATGTAGTTTAATAATTAAAGAAGCAAAATTTATATTTTTTATTTAATTTATATTATTATTATTATTATTATTATTTTAAATAATAATTTTTTTAAATTATTTTAACTTAATTTTATAACTACAAATAATATGTATCAAAATGATAAAGATTTAATATAATTAAATAATTTTAAAATATAATCTATTGTATACTTCTAAATCATCAATTTAAGAAATAAGAGTATTAAAAAACACTAAATTAAAAAAATAAAAAAGTAAATTTTATAAATATAGAAATAGTATTTAAGAAACATTAAAAATTTATATAAGTTAATAGAAAAAAGTTAAATAACAACTTTAATCTTTAAATTTTAGAATAGAATTAACAAAAATAAGAATAGAAAGTAAAATTATTGTAGAAAGAAACAATATAATTCATAGATTATTATCAATCAACTTTAACCCTAAAATATATACGAAAAAAATTATAATGAAGAATAATTTCATTAATATTTCACTTTTTAAATAATAATTTTTTATTTATAATAAAAAAAATTGACTAATTGCTTTAAAAAAATATTTTTTTAATTATAGTTAATTTATTATCTATATTTTACAACTTAACCATTACAAAAATTTGAAGCTAAATATATGAATATCTCTAAACTATATTAAAAACAATATATCATAAATATTTTCAATAATAGACTTTTATTTATTTTTTCGTTAGAAATTTTATTTTTTCAGAATATATCTTAATTTCTTATCTAATTCTTTTTTTTAATAAAAAAGATATATCTTAATTTGATTTTATCTCATCAACAAAGTTTAATAACTTTTTTAATAACGAACATAACGACCTATTAATAAATAAATTATCTTTTTTAATAAAATTATCCTATACACACCATCAAATATTTATTTTTATTAAGAGAATGATAATAACTTCTAAAGAATTATCGGTTAAGAAGTTTAAGTTATTTTTAAAATATAATATATAAGATCATTAACAAATTTATCATAATTTTTAGTAAATTTTTATATTTATTAATTTTGTGACAGTAGTGTTGGCAAAATAATTAGTTGGACACAATTTTATAATTATTGATTAAAGTGTTCAAGAATAACATAACTGTTAAACGGACACAAAAATATCAAAAGTCAAATAAATTTGCTAATTCAAATTGACAGATCTTAAATTTAAATTTCATCCTATTTTTTTAATCTGATACCCTTGACTTTAACTTTGATACAATTAATTCTTAAACCTCATTAATTTTTTAAATAAATACCTTAAACTTTAATTTATTTTGATTGATGCTTGAACTGCATTTCTTTAATAAATAGTTTATTTCATAAATTAATTAGGAATTAAAATACCGACATAGAAAAAGTTTCAATCAATTATAATCTTTGAAACTGAATCATTTGTCTAAATGTCATAGCTTAATAGAAATTAAATTTAAGAAAAAACATTAAAAAAAATCCACTGTAAATATGTACTATCATGATCAAATTTGATTTAATTTTTTTAAAATGAAAAAAATATAATCTTGACTTAGATATCTTATAATTATAAGTTTTTTTTAATTTCTTTTATTAATTCTTATTCACTTGTATAAATACCTTTTATGCAAATGAAATATGACATGGTTTTTTCTATCTTTCTTTCTCTTATCTTTCTATCTACTTTCTCTAATTGTCCTTCATTTATAATATTATTGTATAATACCCTAATTGTGTTGTGTTCTATGTGTTCTTTATCTAGGTTAGAATTTTAATTTTAATATTTTTTTCTTATGAAATTTTGCATGTTATATATATAGCCTTTTCGATTGTACTTGCAAGATTTAGTTTTGCACCAACCCATATACATTGCAACTGAGTGAAGCACATCATTCACTATCTCCATTATACATCTTATCTGGATTTATGGTAATTGCATAGAAATTTTGTTTATTGATAGAGATGCTAATAAAGAATTTTGTGAGTATTTTGTGCAATGACATTTACCCTAACACAATAAGTTCATATTAAATCATATCTCTTTCAAGCTCATATCTTCTCTTTTCTTCTTTTGTTATCATTCTCTCATCCCTGTTATTCTCAACATTGTTTATGAGACTTCATCACTCCTAACCTTGAGTGCAAGTGTCTAGTGGCAAAGCTGTGTAAACTTTGGAGAGTAAAATTAGATATTAGGTTGCATTAGAGGTCCACTAGAAATTTGTTTTCAAGGCAATGACATTTACCATAACACAATAATTTTTCCTTCCTATTTTTCCAACAATATCAACATCAAGTACCATGATAACATTTTAAGAATTTGAGCTTGTAAGATTTGAAGAAATAAGAGTTTATAATTTGATAAACACTTTCAGTTTCAAACAATAGATTAATATGATATATTATACTATATTAGATAACATGCAAAGATAAATATTAAAATTTTATTGATAAATAAATTATCTAAATAAAAAATTATAACCTTGATAAAGAACACAGATGATTTATTTTTATTGTTAGAGATTTAATTGTGTATTATAAAATAATGTTAATAACGGAAAAGATAGAAAAAGTAAAAAGAATGAAAGATAAAAAAAAAAATAGTTGTATATTATTTCATTCGCATAAAAAATATTTATATACATAAATTAAAAAATAATAGGAGAAACTAAAAAACTTACAGTTTGTCTGATACCTACTCGATCAAGATCATACTTTTAATATAAAAAAACTAATTTTATCAAATCAAATAAAATATGATTATAATAGCCATCCAAATGCACAGTTTGCAACATAAAAACATGGTAAAATTCACAGTAATTTTGTATCTTATGCATGAAATAACTCTGATCGTTAATTTTATATTAATAAATAATAGAATTAGTGATTTAATTAAAAAAATATTAGCACCCTCTTATCTTTAAAATACTAAAAAAAAAATTTTAATGCATGAACGGAGGTAAAGGCCCAAACTAAAAATCTCTAAAAAATGAAACAACTGACAAATCACTAAGCAGAGTAAGTCAGATCCAAGAGGAGCTTTGAAAAGATAGCAATCCTATCTTGCAAATTACGGCTATGCTTGGTTAAAAGATTCACAACTTGATTTCCCAAAAGATATGAGAGCAAGATACCTCATGGTCATTACCAGCAATATGAATATCGTGTTCACCAGAAATAGCTAGTATAAGTACGAATGCATCCTTCATTTACAAGTTTTACACTAAAAAAATTACATCTATTAATTTTAAAAAAATATAAAATATTCTCTCAAGTTTATGAGTATCATCACGAACACCTAAAAATATTTATTTATTTTTAATTTTTATAATTTATTCAATTTTAAATAGTCATATAATATGACTTTATTTTTATTAATAAAATATTTTAATTTTATAAAATTCATGCAGTATCTAAGAAATTCATTAATTATAAAATTAACTTGTTGACGGGTACTTTTAGAACATAGTTAAGGAATAAAAATGACAATTTTTTTTATTAAAAAGTGTAATAGTGCATTTACTACTTGATTTTCAATGCATTTTAATGTAATTTTTAACAAAATTACTATTTATTAATTTTTAATTAATATTTTAATAACATTGGTTAACAAAATCTATTATGAAATAACCTTAAATGATTTTTTAATAATATAGTATATGAAAGTAATTTATTCACATATTACCAAGAAAATACTATTTCATAATTATTTTATCCCAATAAAATTTATTTCAAATGTCCATTAATAAATTAAGGGGCTTAAGCGCATCATAGGACTATGAAAATAACTATGAATGACAACTTCAGTCATTAACCGATATGTTTGATTAACAGTCACCCCTTCTTTCAATGTTACAACAACATTTCACACTCTCAAAGAAAAAGAAAGCCAAGTGAAGCGAATCATGGACTGGCTTAGACGCAGCCTTTCGAGGAGTTCAAGGAATAGCAAAACATCAAACACCCAAACACAGCCCAACTCCAAAGTACGACAAAAAGAAGAAGAAGAAGAAGAAGAAGAAGAAAGCATTTACGGGATCACTGAGGAACTCATTAACCACATCAAATCTTTCACCCTCGACACTTTTAAGAATTTCCCTCTCCGAGGTTTTCCCTTATTTATTCTTTCTTTTTTCTTTTTTCTTGTTCTTAATTGGAAAGAAAATTGTAGGATTTATGGGTTCAATTTTTTAATTTCCAATTTCTTAATTTTGGTTGTCCGTACTTTCCCTGACCCCAGATGATATAAATTTCTTCAATTCCCATGCTTAGTGATAATGTTGCTTGGAATTGAAAGCATTGGTCTCGCATTCTTCATAGGGGAACCTAATAATGATGCAGTGTTATTCTTCATTTATCTATTGATTGTATTTTATTAAACAAAATTATTTTTTTATTTTATTTTTTTGTTTGAACTGTGTTTTGGGTGCAGATGAAGATGAAGGCACTTATGGGGAAGAAACTCAATCCTCTTCAACAATAGTTAGAAAGGATCTCTCTCAGTGGCAAGAGAGACATGCAATCCTCATACTATCAAGAGTCAAGGTTTGTCTTCAAATATTCTTGCTTGTTTGTGGTGTTCAACTATTAAAGAGTAAAACTAGATGTTCTCTTTTATAGAAATAGAAGACTTTACCAGATTATCTTTCTCTGTAGTCCACATATTGTGAGATTGATGACACTCCTTTATCTAATGATTCTAATCTATAAAATCGTGTTTGTAATTCTAGTCTGCTTGCATTACATTGCTAAGTGCCCACCCCGTTGACTATCTAGTAGTTTTTTTTTTTTGGTTTGAGACCCTCAGTATCTGAAAGCTGAATTGGATGCCAACTAATCCAAGTCAAATTAGGTGAATCCATATTGCTACAGCGAAGTTGTAAGATTAACCATTGGGCTGGGGTGTAATCCCTTCCCTTAGTGATTCCAAAATTCAAATCCCTGATTTTCCAAGTTCCCTTGGGGTTGTAGTCTACAGAATAAGCTCCATTCCAGTACTGGATGGGTGCAGTAGGGGAAGGAAAGACGGATGTATTTTGTGAGCTCCACAAAATGCACTGTCTTTCGATTTCCTATTGCACCCATCCAGTGACCAGAGAGAATCCTTTCCCATACTCCACTTCTCTACTGTGACCAACCATTGCAGGGTGCTCTCTTGCATCCTATTCTTTTTCTATTTGCAATAGTCAAACATGAGATTGCTACTTAATGGGAAACTAGCTCCTTGCCACTTGGACCAACAAGCATTGGTACTAGCTAGTACCCTTAGTAGTTAGTACAAAACTACAAATATTTTAGTGCTCCTTAAATTGTCTATGTTGCCTTTAAATGATTATGGCAGCCTTAGATTCTAAATAATTGGGTTAAGGATAGCTAATGATTAGTTTATAATTTATCTCTTGCTTGCCAATGAATTATGAATAGACAGTAACTTTGTGCGGCTAAGAAATTTTATCAGGTGAACAAGAGAAAAAAATTTATCATAGGTCTGCCCTATGAAAAATTCATGATTGATTGAATAACAAATAAGCATGTAAAGCAAGTTACATGAAAAAACTTTGAACAGTACATTTCTTAGATGGATGAGTCTTAGAAATAAGAATCCTAAGATGGATGGGTGGTTATATGAGAAATGATAGAATAAGAAATGACCACATATGAGAGAATATTGGAATAATACCTACTATGGAAAAATGACAGAAAATCGACTATGGTGGTTTGCATATGTGCAAAGACATTTAAGGCACCAGTGAGAAAAATGAATAACATGATTTTTAATTCAGTGAAAAGGAGTAGAGGGAGAACTGAAAGAATTTTGGAAGAAATTATTAAAAGAGATCTTATGGTAAAGAACATCTCAGGGAATTTGGTTTTTGACCGAGCTTGATGATGTTGTGCAATCCATGCAGCTGATCTCACCTAATGGAAAAAAGCTTGATTGTTATTGTTGTTGATAGATGACTATAAATATATCAAGTATGAAGATTAGGAAGAAGAAAAAAGGACATTTAGACTCAAGTGCGCATATAATTTTGAACATCAACAAACTGTGGCAGCAAATGAAGCAATCTTGTGCCTTGAGATAGTCTGGTGTGTGGTTTCCTGTTCTTATTTTGTGTTCCTATTATTTCTCATGAATCTATTTTGGTTGGTGAAATGCAGAGAAATAATTTCCAATTTCTAACTTGCTGACGAGACCTTATATTTTGTTGGGGCTGTTGGCCTGAGTGACAAATTAAGGGAAGGGGATCAGTTATTGGATCTTACTGAGAGGCCCAAAGTGTAGAGGGTGTATATGAGATAGAAAAAGAACAATGGGGCAAAAAAGGAATTTAATGCATGAGTTAGTTAGAAGGGGCATGTTAAGAGTGAGAGGCGAGGTTTGTGGGGAGCAGGAGAAAATAAGTTGCTACATTCTGTTAGAGGGGGCAGAATTCCAGTATCAATTGGGATTTTTGTAGGAGCCATAGGCTCTGGTTATGTGTACTCACCTTTTTCTTGTTGGTATTCAATAATACTTGCATTTCAGTTTCCATCATACTTAAGTTCAATTTTCAACCAAGAGCATAGCATGATATGATAGGGAACTGCCAAGTTGTATATTTGAATGAAAAAGCTGGGTTATTCACTCATGAATTCTTTATCTGTGAATCTTCATTGTTTATGTTTGCTTCCTTCTATGTCAGTTGCACTCATCTCGCCAAGGGGGTTTCTGTTTGTCTGATGTGAAGAGGGACGGGAGGGACACTTTTAACTTTGTGTGTACTTTTTCACTTAAATTTTCTTTCCATTTTCCCCTGTTTCCCATTAACTTTGCAAGATCCCTTATTGTTCCATTCTGTACGTGTTTTATCTTGTGAAATTATTATTTCCTTTATATTTGTACTTTTTGAAAGTCATCCCACCAAATTCTGATACTATTTCTTATCACTAAAATACCAACAGTATTTAATGCTTAAGCTGATAAGTGAGCTCATTTAGATTGAGCAGCTGCAAGCATGATAAATTATGAATGCAATATGTTATACAAGAAGCGGATGAGTTGGTTTTATATTTATTGTCTTTCATTATTAGGTTTTATTTTCAACTTGTTGATTTACCAAAATCCCTCTGGTTTTGTGAAGGAGTTTAAGGATAAGGCTAAGTATAATCTACTGAAATCCTACAATACAAACACTCGTACATGGAATGCTAGACAAAGATCTACAAGCTACCATTTTTACGTCCAGTATTTAATGGCTTTACTTTAAAAACAAGAGAACTAATTGTGTGGAAGTGAGCTATTCTACTTCCAGGCTTAGACCCTCCCTTGAACAATTGGGCCTGTTTAAAAGAATTTATGGAAACAACTTATGACGCTCATAAGTTCCTTTTAGCTTATTTCAATAAACTTTTTGGTATAGCTTATTGAAATAAGTTGTTATCAACTTATCCTAATAAATTTTGCGATTAAATTTATAGCATAAACTATCATTTAAAAAAACCTTATTGGATAAGCATTTAAATAAGCTGTGTATCTAAACATACAGCCATTAACAATCAAGCCTTTTTACACTGGGTGGAGACAGCTGTATGGATTATGTGTCTACATGTAGTAAGTTCTAATAATAATAATGATAGAAAGGAAAATCTTCTATTATCGTGCTTGACATGATTTGCATAGTTATTAGTGTGTCGATAGGAAGTTAAATGTTTTACCTGCCTTTAATTTATTTTCATTTTAATGAAGTATATTATTTAAAAAAATACAAAGTGAAATTATTTATCCTTATGCTTCATATTATACAATTAAGGCAGAGTAAAAGAAAAGTTATTAAGAGTGTCATTAGGAACTTAGTTGTGGTATTCACCATCCCCAACTCTACAGTCATCTTTCGTTTGGTTGCTGGCTTTACATTGATGTTCTGAAGACGTTAAATTTGCAGGCATCAGTGCTTCTTGATAATCTTTAACTGTAATTTGTAGGCATCAACAAAGGCCTGAAATTATTGCCACACGTTATATGCTTTTGATAAACTTCTCAGTCATCAGAGATGTTTTCTAATACGGTATATATCTGTTTATATATGGATTTTGAGTTATGTAAACCCTGTCAGGCTAAAATAGTTTTTAATGAGTGGTGTCATTGGCATGTGTTTGGCAAGTGCATTTGATGTTTTTAGTTACCTATCTTATTAATAACTTTGTGATTTATTGTAAATAATATTAATACATGTAATCAATCTTATAGTTGGGGGGGGAAGGAAAAAAAAAAACCCCGGTACAATTAGTATCATAAATAATTCTAGTTTGGTTATATTCCAGGAAATATCTCAACTGAGATATGTACTCTGTCCTCGCCATTTGAAGGAAAATAAATTCTGGAAAATTTACTTTAAGCTTGCCCGGAGTCATGTTCTTGAGTAAGTGTTACAAATTCTTGGCAATGGTTTTTGTTGTGTTTTTCCTCCCCTCCGGATATTTGGTGCATGCACACACAAATACACAATTACAATGCTTATGCTGACACTTACACAGACAACAAATCAACAAAAAAAAGGGAAACTGTCCGAGTCATGCTTTGATGAAATATGACTCCTCTTCATTGCTTCTGATCAGATATGAGCTTCGCGATGTGCAGCGGGAGAAACTGAAGCGGATGGCTATGGAAGATGAGAAATCTTCAGACAAGAGCCCTTATGAAGTTGAAATGGCAGAAGCAACGCAAGGGAACTTTACTGCACCTTTACCCCTCACATAGAATGAAAGCACTAACAACATTGGTTGGTAGCATGAACAGAACACAACAGGTATTAACAATTACTTTCATTATTCAAATAGAGCATTAGTCTCAAGCATTTGTTGTGAATTTGAAACTATTGACACTTTTTTTATTCTTGACATAATTTGCTGACAGACAAAATGGTGCAGAATCTTTGGAAACATCTGATGGGGGATCATGCTTACAGTGGGAAGCTATTTCTTAAAATTGACAATTTGAGTTGCCAGTCAAATCACAAATCCACAATGTTAACAAATGAATCACTAGTGTTGTTTAATTTGGCTAATTAGTTTGTGATAAATATTTGTCCCTCCTCTTCATTCTTGTCATGGTCAACCAAAAACAAATGATAAATGTACAAAATCTGTTTGGATCGATGGAGTTGGCTACAATGATTATGGATATGAAAATAATGTTTATTAATTTACCATAAATGTTGAGAATAGTTTTTCTACAAGGTTTATTTCATAGCTTGTTCGCTAGTCAAGTGCCACGAGACATTAAAAATATAAAATTGTTCCAGCAAATAGTTTCTTCAAATCCTTTGGGATATGTTAATTGACCAATATTGGAGAGGGAGGGTCTAATTTTTACTCTTCTAACGTGAGAAAATGTACCGGTTAACATCCTCATTTTATTATTGCGTTACTTCATTTATTATTGCAATTCATTTTTAAATTATAAGAATTTTAAATTTTTACAAGTTGCAAAAGATCTTGCTCAAATGAGACGTGTCTCACTCTGACAAGATTAAGTTTTCTGGACCAGATGTTTTAAGCATTCTTACTTAGGATCATGTCTAGGCGAGAATGGATAATATTGTCTTAACTATCCTTTCGCTTAAGCGAGAATGCATAAAGAAAAGTGGGAGTTCTTTAAATTCAATTTCGCTTAGGCAAAATTATTAGAAATTTGTGTAAAAGTTTTGTTTGGTGTTATCACTCAGGCAAAAATGCGTTTCACTCAAGTGAGAACTAGCGGGCCAAAAATGGTATTTAAGAAATCTCTGTTTTAAAAACTTGTACTAGCAACTCCTTCTCACTTTCTTTCCTCAGAGAAAACTCTCTTGAACCCTGAATCTTTTTTGAATTCAAGTTTGGACGTCTGTTCCATTCGACCTCAAGTAAGTTTTTCAAAACTTAATTCTCCAATTTTGTTTCTATTTATCCATTTTTTCTCCTTTTTCCAAAAGTGCTCTATTTTTGCAATACATACGCCTTGATATTTTGGACAATATCTTCTTCAAATGTTCTAACAAATCTTTACATTGAGGTAAGAAAAACTCTATCTCACCGTGAAAACAGTGAAAATAATTGTGCTCATGAAAGTGTAATATTGTATTTATTTATCTCGTAAATATATGTTTAAATTGAAGTTTGATATTTGTTAAAGTTGGTAATACATGTTTGATTGATATTGAATGACTGAAACATATTTTCTTTAAAATATCTAATTTGGACTAAGTTCGGATGTGCTTGACTTTAGGCACGATATATTTAGAAGAGTAATAAATTGAACATCTGCTATAAGATTAACCATCATATTTTCTATAAAACATCTGCTATAAATTGAACTAAAATGTTAGTAAAATATGGATTTACCTGATTGAAAATCAACTTAAGTTTAACTTCTATCAATTCAAGGTATCAAAATTTGTTGGGCTCTCTAAAGTTTCTTCCAAGTTCTTACTTAATTCAGAATTCTTACTTCCACTTGATAAAAAAAAATTTGATTGTATCTATAATGATCATCATTACTACCCTGAAAAAATTCACTATAGCCATAATGATCATCACTACTATCTTGAAAAAATTCACTATAGCCATAATGATCATCATTCAATATTGTTTTTTGTGAATCACCTTGAGATCTTGCTTCCTTACCTTTGAATTTTTCAAAAAGAGACTCCAAACAAGTTTCTAATTTCTTATTCAATATCATTACCTCACTAACACCAAAAGCTTGAGAAATCAACCATTTTATAAACTTCAATTTGTATCTAAGGTCTAACACAACAATAATAAACAACAACATATTTAGATTGTTAGGAGTCCCCCAGTACTTATCATGTTTTTTTCTTTATTCTTATATCCATTTCTTTAATTCTTACATCTTTGAATTCATGACATATTTGCTTAATCTTCTTTCTAATTCCAAGAACCCTAACATATACATGTTACTTGTCACATAAGATAAATCAAAAATGCACAAAGTAGCTTCATAAAAAATCTTCAAAAATAGTAAGATTGAGCGTACATAGTCCTTCACTTATAGGAACATAAAAAAAGGTTGAATTCCACCTAGTTTTAATATATAGGCAAAGAAGACCTTTGTATTCAATATATCGTTCAATACATGCCTTAAACTTTGTCAATCTAGAAGGAGAAGATCTTATGTATTTCACTGCAGGACGAATTTTTAAAACAAAATCATCAATCTTTTTTAAATCTTCTTTTATAATCAAATTCAAAATATGCGCACAACAACACATATGAATATATTCTTCATCCAAAACTAAATAGCCTTTTATTGAGATACTAAATACCAACATTATTTGATGAGACATTATCAACTGTCAAACTTAAAATACAATTCAACTCCCACCTGTCCAAGCACTTCTCTATAGTCTTAGCAATAGTTTTTCCTGAATAGCTAGTAATTTGACAAAAATTTAGAATTTTTTTTTTCTAGCTTCCAGTTATTGTCAATAAAATGTCTAGTCAAGCATAGATAATTAAAATTCTAACCAGAAGTTCATGTGTTAGTAGTAAACAAACCCTTTAACAATTTTGAGAAAGAATTTTTTTCAATTTGCTCTTTTTTGTCTCCCATAGCTCCAAAACATCATGTGCTAATATATTGTGCAAAATGACATGAAATTTTGATTGTAAAACACTCAAAAACTTTTGAAATGATTCGTGTTCTACACATCGAAAAGGAATCTTCATAGCTAAAACACATCAAAGTTGTAGTCATAGTATGACTGATTAAAGTTATTTTGATTTAGGTTAGTTCTGTGATACTTGGAAAGAATCCTGTCGTTGAATGACTTGTGATCATCATGATTCGATCATCTCAAATCAATTAAAGATGAAAACTTGATATTTTCAATAATATGCGTACTTATAGTTCATTGAACCTTCAAGTTGTTACATAGGTCAAGTGAGAGATTGTTAGATTAATTTTAATAATCTATATAGTGGCTTATGTAACTTATGTCATGACTCTAATTAAAGATTTATTATGATGGTTGTTAAATATGAAATATAGAATCATTGAAGGTATAATTGTAAAGAAATCATCTCCTCTCCTTTTAGATAAAATGAAAGAGCGATTACCATGATAGAAATCACAATCATTCTCATTTTCATGGTATTACGATACCTAGAAAAGAAAACATTTTCTCTCAATTATCAAAAAGGAGTTAAAAGAATAAGAAAGAATTGGATAAAATACCAGGGCTCAAGAATGTCAAAGGGAAATCACATTAAAGCACAATGAGAAAATACTTTCTCTCAACTATCAAAGAGTAGCTAAAGGAATAAGGAAGAATTGGAGAAAATACCAGAGCTTAAGAACGTCAGATCACATCAAAGCACAATAAATTCAAATTAGTGCTCTCTAAACTTTTAATTGTGTGAAAATTATAAAATTTAATATCAATAGTAATTTTATAATAGTTACATCATAAATAAAAATTACATAATGAATTAAAATCTAACACATAATTTTAATCTAAAGCATGATGATTATGAAGTTACTATGTCTAGATGAAGCTATCTTTTTTTTTTTGAACTATAACCCTCTAATGTAAAAAAAAATTCAAAGAAAAATATTTCTTATAAAAGAAGTTTACATATGAATATTATATATTTTTTCCTACAATTAAAATTTATCTTATTACATTTTTCATTGCTCAAGGTTTTGATATAACATTTTCACAGTTAATATATAAGTTTAAATTATGTACATACATACATAGATGATTATCATAATAAAATTTGATTTGATTTAGCATTTTTTTACTGTATAATACTAATTTTTTTTGGGTTTTATTTATTAATTTTTATTCATTTATGTAAATATAATGAAATAAGATATAATTATTTGTCTTTTTAATATTATATATATATATATATATTAATATTATCATTATAACAATCTTAATAGTAATTTAAATGGTGAGATATCATAGCATCTCTCATATATTTTCTATTCCCAAATTGTGGCTTTTGAAAAAAAAATTTAAAAGTTTTTTAATTTATTTTAATAACATTTTTCTATAGAAATTATTAAAAAATTTTAACTCCAATATAATTTTGGGTTTTATAATATTTTAATATTTTGATTTTAGTTATTTTATTTTTTATTTTACTGCTTAAATTTTTAAATTTAGTAATTCTCTAAATTTAAATTTTTTAATATGTAGAAATGATGTAATTAATTAAAAATTCATTGCATATTAATTTTGTATGAGTTCAAGTGATTAATAGAAATAAAAAATGTTAATTTTTTAAAACAATCAGATACTAAATTAATATGATAAATTAAATTTATATGATAAATTTTTATATTATAATAAGATACTTGTTATAGTACCTACAAATTTGAGAAAACATTGTATTCTCTCTTTAAATTAATAGTTATAATTTATTTAATATTTTAAAAATTAAAAAATATTTGTGTTTTTAAATAAATTTATTAATAGAAAATTAACATTAATTTACAAGTATTGTAAAAATTATCTTATAATAATATTTATTAAATAAAAAATATATTATTATTATTTTTATTGAGATACACTTTATATTCATATCCTCACATAATTAATGCAATTTTAGTATTTTTTTCAGTAATAAAAAGTTTAATTTATTTTATTTATTTAAAAGTAATCTAAACATCCAAAATACATAATTTTATTTTAAAAAGGAGAAAAACCAGAACCCTCTTCAAGAGAAAATAAGATAAATAGTTAATAAAAATAAATTAAAATTAAAATAATTTGTTTCTTAAGATATTATATTAAAAATAAATAAATTTGAAGTCATGCTAAAAATAATAACAAAAATATATTAAGAACACAGTTTAATTAAAAGCATTAGTTTTAATACTTTTGAAAACATTTATTGACATTTATCAATAAATCATTTAGAAGGAAATAAATACATTAAACCAATTAAAAATAAAAAATATTAATTAATATCCTTAAAATACTGAATAAAAAATTAAAAATATTTTTTTAATTAAAAACACAGTAACACAATTATGTCTTATCTCATAAAAAAAAAACTAAATATTGCATATAAATATAGAAAGAGATTGTTTCTTTTTACCCATTTCTCCCAAGTCCAAACCCTTTATAAAGACACTTTTTCCAGGTGCCCAGAACTTGGCCCCCTCTTTAGTCTTCTTCTACTCCCTCTTTCTCACCGTCGATTGAGTGAACCATCCAATTTGGGAGATGGGAAAGTGCATGAGAAAATCCAAAGCAGGTGGTGACGTGGCAGTGATGGAAGTGTCTACTTCTTCTCCTATCATCGGTGTTCGCACCAGAGCCATGACCCTCGCACTTCAAAATTCCCATCCCTACCTTCAACTCCGTAGCCGCCGCCTCCAGAAGCTCCTCTCGCCGCCGATTAAGAAAACTGCCGCCGCCGCGCCACGTGTCGCCAATCAAAACGTTGATCCTTTTTTCGCTGAAACTACGTTGCTCGTGGAAACGAAAGACAGGTATTTATCTGTGATTTCGTTTTTTTTTGTGTTCGGTCATTATATCAGTGTCAATTTTTTGAGACTCAAGACTTTAACATAGTTAAAGCTTTTTATTTTTAAAGTATAATTAAATTTGAACATTTAGGAAATGTTTTGTTTCGGAAAAAAAACTATTTTTATTTTCTGCTGTCATGGATTTATAAAAAATACTAATAATATTTTTTGTATAAATTTAAAAAAACAAGAAAAAGAATGAAAACACGAAGAAACTTTTACAATTTAAATTGAAAATAAAAATGATTCTTGAAACAAATAGGTCCTTAACTTTTCTCACGGTCTAAACTAAACCCGTTTAGTGAAATGAGGCATGGGTATCTATGTTTATATTTGTGTGCGTTGTGATGCTTTTATCTTTTCTTTATTTTTTTTTTATCAAGGTTTTTAATTAAAGATCGCCAGCAGCAATATTAACCTTCTGAATGTTTCATTGAAAAAAAAAATACGGAGAAAAAAATTGAATAGAAAGAATATTTTGTCTTTAAATTTGTTTATTTTCCTTTAATTAAGTAGAAAAATGTTATTTGTATTCCTTTTTATTTTATTTCATTCCGCCAAATAAAGCATCGGCGAGCTGTATTGACCGTGTTTGTTTGTAATTTTCTGCGATTTGAAGCGTTTGGGAGAGTCAGAAAGTGGCGTTGACTGAGAATTCAATTTTGGATTTTTTATTATTTTTTTGGGTTTGTTGTTTTTAACTTGTCCGCTATTTACTGAAATTTCGAGTTTTAATTGTTTTTGTGAAAAATACTTTTGAAATGTGTTTGATAAATTTGAAAGACATTAGAAATTAAAAAAATTTAAATTATTTTGAAAATTATGTTAAACATGGACCTGCAGTTACTTACATATGTTTTGAAAATTTTTGTGGTGACTGATTTTATAAGTATTTTAACCCTAATGCTGATGTAAGGGAAGCTATGTTATTACCAAAGGTTTGGGTCATAGGATCCGCAACTTTTCGCCATCACCTACTGAATAGTTATTTATTACATGCTGTATTTTCAGGGATTTTGATGTTTTGACTATAACTCTTTAATAATTGCACCCACCCTCGTGTAATTTTTTATTAAATAATTATTTACTTTAATCTCTTAATTATATTTTAAATTATTTTCGTCTTTAATTTTATAAAAAGATATTTTATTTTTATTCTACAAAATAACATTTATTTTATACTTTTTAAAAATAAAATGACAATAAAAGTACAATAACTAAAATGAATAATTTTTTAAAAAAAATTAAGATTAGAATAAAAATTTTGAGGACGAAAATATATATTTACACTAAATATTACCTGCATCTGCTGCTTTACATTAAAATATTGCTCAATCGAAAGCAACAATGCAGTGATGTAGTGGTGCTTTTGGTATTCAAGTATATTTATTCATCTTTCTCCTCCAATGAATTTCTTTAATATATTCCTTAAAAAACGAGTCTCCAGCTAGAAAATTGGGTGTAGTGATGATGTCATATTATTTACTAACGTAAAAGAATTGAAATTAATTTTTATTTAGGTTTCCCTCCAGATTTCTGATGAACTCTCGTAAGTAATTAATAGGAAATGTTTCGTTTCTCTTCACCGTCTCTATCACATTTATGGTCCTTTTGATCTGCAAGATCTCTGTCTGGAGTTTAGTGCTCCATAATGGTCATGTTGAAAAGAAAATTGACCTTTGTAATGTAATTATGTAAGGAGCAATAACTTCTATGAATCTATGCCTCGTATCATGTACATGGGGGGGATTTTACTGTTTGAGTTTACAGTGAGAGAGAGACTTTGGTTGTCTCTTGCTTTGTATTTTTTTAGTGCTTGAGCCCACCGAGTCAGAGGTTGTCCCTTGAAATGCCAACTACTTTTTGGAATAGCAAGTTGTCTCTAGTTCTATACTGAAGAAACTTTGTTGGGAAAATCATCTTTATTTACTTCACTTCTAATATTTAGCTGCCAAAGTTAGCCTGCAGCTGGTGCAGAAACTTTTGATTACCTTTATGTTACTGACCAACACTTACATTCGTATGACTGTCAAATTTTTATTAGATTCTTTTCTGGCAAGAGTATTTTGAATACAATTTGGTTGTTGAGCAGGAGCACCAGGGAAAGCACACCTTGTAGTTTACTTAGAGATTCAAATGCTGTTGACACCCAAAATATCCATGAACTCATACAAAGAAATATTCCAACGGCTTATGAGATGGATGAGTTCTTCGCCTTTGCAGAGAAGCAGCAGCAGACAATATTTATGGACAAGTATTGTACCTTAATCCAATTATCTCCACAAGTCTTCTTTTTATTTTGTTAATTAATTATTTGTTCAATTTTGCTTGCTCTTGGGTTTTTCCCCCTTTTTTTTAATGTAAATATGTAATATTTCGCAGGTACAATTTCGACATTGTCAATGATATACCTCTTCCTGGACGGTTCGAATGGGTTCAAGTACATAACTAGGCTAAGCTCTAGTAACATAGGCTTCTATGCTTCCAACTTAACAATTGATTAAAGAAAAGCTATTGTGACATGTAATTTAACAACTAGCAGTGTTAACTAACGAATTAGATTGCTTGAAGCTCAACTAGAAAAGGGTTAGGACATGCTAAGCATAGATTTCCAAATTATGAGTAGTTTAGTGTTTCGTTTTGTTGATTTTAGGGTATATCTAATTGTTAGGATCTTTCTGTAATTTACTTTCCTTCTGTGCATAATTTAGTGCGTATAACTATGATGTGTAGAAATACTGTAGGCTAATTATCCTTCCCTTTACTCAAAATTTAGCGTTGATATATGGTATAACCATTTTAGTGCACATTTGAAATTAGGCTTAGAAAGTTCCTCCAAAAAGCAGTTTAATTGAAAGTATTTTCCGGTCATATTAAAGTTAGATAATATCCCTTCGAATTGAAGGTATCTGTTAACAGCGACTAATACCTACACAACAATATACAATAGCGACCCGCGGCAATTTGCACCTATCGCACTTAATTGAGGTGTGTCACATGGACTACGCCTGAGATTTGGTCTTAAAAGCTTATGAAAAAAACTTATAAAAAAAGTTTAGGATTCGTTAATTTTTAGTTTATTTTAATAAATTTTTAGGTATTTCTTATTAAATTAATTTATTTTTTAGCTTATTTTAATAACATTGGTCATTAAATTTATAAAATAACTAATCATTGTTGAAAAAAGTTTATTGTATAAGTGATTAAATAAGCAATTGTGTTAGGGGTGAGTGATGACCAACTTAAAATTGTCCGAAATAGAAATACAAATATAACTTGAATTAGATCAAGTTACAAGTTTTATCATGTGTCAACTGGGATTGGGATTGCAACGAAAAAATGTAAATCGAAAATAGGAAAAAGAAAAATTAGAAATTATAGGAGTCGTTACTAAATTTTTTTTAAAAATTTAAAAATTATTGAAAATATAGTTTACTTAACCAGATCTAGAAATTTTAATTATGCCTGAGAAAAATATTAGTACCTCATGATGTCCCTAAAAATAGTTATTTGTGTAAAAATTAAATTTTTATTTCATTTCTAAATTTGATATTTTATTTATTAAAGAATAAAAAAAGTTTTAAAGTAATTGAATCAGACGAATTTTGATCCTTCCGCTTTCATATTTCTGTTACATATTATGAAAAACAAGGGCTACTTACTACTAAAAGAAGGGATTTTTTTTTTGTTAAAAGGTATAAAATTAAAAATAAAACCATATTAAAAGATTTACAAAAATAAAAATAAATTCTTCAAAAGTGTTAAAATGACTAAGATATATTCATTATTTTAGCATTGCTTAAAAATAAGGTGAAGAATTTAATTTTATAATTATGTAATTTGTGAATAATAGATTAATTTATACATTACTATCTTTAATTGTTATGTGAATTTAAAGATTTGTTTTTATTTTAAGGAAAAAATAGACAAATATTTAGTATTTTGAAACAAAATAAAATTTTAAATAATTCACATGTACATATTACTAACTAGTAAAATCAAACTGATATTTTTACTATATATGAATGATAAAGTAATTTATATATTATTGTTTTAAATTGACGTGTACATTAAAAAAATAGCATTTATTTAAAAACTAAAATATTAAAGAATTTATAATTAAAGATATTTATTTAAATTTTTATTTTAAAAATAATATTTATTTATTTTATCATAAAATTGAAAAATATCTTATGTGACTTTTTAACATGTAAACAATAAATGTAATTTATTTATTTATTAATCAAAAATAACTTAAATACACGAAGTATTTGACAACGCAACTAAATTGGTAGTCTTATGATTTTATAACATGTTAATGATAGAGATTTTTATACATCATTATTATTAGAGCTATCAAAAATTTTATTTAATCCAACCTTACCCCATGTGGGTCAAGGCCAAAAAGCCCATCAATTTATAAGCTCATAAGGCCAAAAATCTCACGGACCAAGATTGGGATTAGAGTTTTATAAGTTAAAAAATTTATATGTTCTTAAAAAATTAGATTTAAAAAATTTGATATAAATTGCGGTAGTTATTAGAATATTTAGTAAAAATATTTATTTCATATAATATTTTTTATAATAAACTTGTAATCCAATAAAATTACTTAAAAAAAAAGAAAAATAAAATTTATATAATATTAAATATTTATAATGATTGTTATTAAATAAATTAATAAAAATAACGATTATTATATAATTTTAACAATTTTTTTATATAATTTTTATCTGTATCAGTGATAATTATTAAATAATTGTAAGATTTTTTTTATATAATTTATAAATAAATTTTAAAATATTATTTGAGCATTAATTATAAATTTTTTCATATTAAATTTTTTTTATATTAGTATTTTTCTTAATTTATTTTTATAAAATTATTTAAAATATTATATATATATATATATATATATATATTATATTATGAGGATCCTATTTTATTTATATAAAAATATCTTATATTCAATAAATAAAGTCACAATAAACATATAAAATTAACAACAAAAAATAACACTGACAAAATTTGTTAAATCTAGTAAATGAAAGCTAATATGTTAAAAAAAAGTAAATAAACATTTTCATCGTAGAAATTGTAAACATAAAATATTTTACATTATAAAATTTATGGACGCAGAAAAGTAACACGTAAACATAGTAAGAATTAATAAATATTTAAATTAAAATAACTTGTGTTTCTAAATTTTTATCTTAATGAGAAATTTGTGATAAAACTTAATATAAAATTTTAAACTAAATACAATATATATATATATATATATATATATATATATAATTTAACTTAATTTTATACATTAATTTATTATATGTATATTAATTTATTATTTTAAATTCATAAATATACGTAAAATTAACTACACTATAGCATTAATATAATATAAAAAAATAATATGTACACGATAAATTAAAAAAAATACTTATATATTACATATAAATTGATAAGTTAACTAATAATTTAATTTTTTATTTATATATTGATTTATGTAAATATTTACTAATTTTTGAATTTCAAATATATATATTACAACTATATTTTTTTAATAATAAAAATCTATCTATACATATATATGTATATAAAATTTATTAAAATTAATCATTTAAGATTCTACATATTTATATTTATATTAAAAATAATCATACCATGTATAAACTTAAGTTATAATGAATCGATAATTATTAAAAGTCATTAAAAAAATTTAAACGTACTAGAACTGATTAAATTTATTAAAATAATTATTAATTAGTATTTTGTAAAATATTATTTATTATTTAATTATTGTTTGGTTAAAAATATTTAATACTTATTCTTAATTAAAATCATAAATTGTTAATGTACTATATTAAATTTAATCAATAAAATTAAACAAATGCAAAAGTTAAATTTAATTTAATTTTATAATGTAATTATATTTGATATTATTTTTATGATAAAGTTTTAATATTTTGAATAAATATTTTTTATTTTTAAAATTATTTTTTATATTTTAAATATAATTTTTAATTCATTTAAATAAAATAATTTAATAAATTTTATTAAAAAAATAATATAATAGTTATTATTTACTTTTTAAAATAAGTGGACTAGCCTACCCTTAACCCTGACCCTAACTCGCTATTTTCTTTATTTTGGGACTTAGGCCATTGTAAACTCACAACTATAGGGCTTTGAAAAAAAAAAAGGATTATATAGAGGGAAGCAAGCGCGCCAAGCTAAGCAATCCCCGCGAAGAATATTTTCTTATTACCAAAGTAGTCCCGTCTGTTTATGTCTATAAAGGCAAATAAAGCGCTCTTTCACCTAATCTCAGGGATACAGGGATAAGCGGTATGTCTAAGAGAGTAAGGTCAGTAAAGCTATAAATTGTGCAAAGCTTTGGTTTCGAACTGTCCAAGGGTCAGGTCAAGCAGAGAGTGCTTTCAAGGAACGAAGCTTTTTTGAGTATTATAGTAGAGGTAAACTTCATTCTAAAGAGGCATCCGAGGATAGGGTTTAGAATTTTGATCCATTTTGACAGCTCTAGGTGACGAAGGAAATGGGCATAATGGCTATGGGTAGTGTTCACTAGAAAAAAAACTGTTGCAGATTGAAAAAAAAGAGCCTAAACTACTAATACCATATAGAAAAGTACATTTGTTGAATGTGTTGTGTGAATACCTAAATTTTACCTGAATTATATTTTGGACATTAACATAATGCAAAACAATTAACAAAAATTAAAAAAAATAGGTGTGTGATAAGATGGTGCCTTGCTGTGTATTATGGTTAGCACCTTTTAATTAAGGTTGATTTTGTGGAGATGCTAGCAACAGAGGTTGACTAGGTAAGTAACATATTGCACACAATCATTTTCTTTCTCCATGAGTTCTTTACGTGACACGAAAAAGAAGAAAGAAAATTACTAAAAATGGAAGAGTAATGCATAATTTTAAAGAAACTAAGGATAAAGTTGTAGGGAAGAGATTAGTCCATAGGTGAGTAAGGAAGAGTTTCTTACACTACAGTTTTGGCCTTGGTTAAGAAGGCTGGGGCTTGGTCTTCAAAAAGGGGAGTTCTCTGGAAAACGGAGGATTTTACAAAAAAAAAAAGAGCAACAAATTAAGAGCAGAGGTATTGTTCGGAGGGTAAGTGTACTCATTGAGAAGTAATAAAGGGTTCTTAAATTAAGTTCTTGAAATATCGTTCCGCAAGGATTATTTTTCAATTACTAAGAATTTTCTAATTTAATTGTTTAAGCTTCAAATATACGAGATTAATCAGAATAAGAATAAAATCAATTATAAAACTAAGAGCAAGGAATATAATGCACGTCTTGGTTAAACTTATCGGAGAGGAATCTAGGACATATGGATTTTCACATTCAATCCTTTATGTTATTTTTTTGTTTAACTCTAAATCCAATTTCCTTGTGATTACCAATCATTCATATAAATATTATTAATACCCAATGGTCATGCAATATTAATATTCTTTTCTTTAAACTAGCATCCCTAATGGTCATGCAAGACATCAATTTAAGAAAGCTTAAGGAACCTATGAATTTATTAATTTAATAACGATTAGAAGAGAAAGATTGGTTTGGTCTACCTAATCCTTTGTCTCGTTTTACCTTATAGATTTATTAATTAACCGAGGTATAGTCGTCTGACGATATAATTAATTAAGATTAAGAGAGAAGCACAATAGGATACAATCTAATCACAAAACGGAAATCAAATTTAGATTCAAATATCAAAATCCTATAAATTCATGAATAATAGTTTTCATAGCCCTACCTATGGACTTAGTTATTCATGCTAAAAAAAAGAACTAAAATAATCATAAACAAAGTTATAGAGAAAAACAAAC